CTGAAACAGTGGCTCGTGGTGTAATTTTACAGATTTTTGGAGTCTTCATGAAGTTTTCTTCTGTTCATATCATTTTAGATTTTGTTACTCGCATGAAGTGCTCTGATTTCTGATGCAGCTTGGTTCTTCTTTTTTTTTTTTTTTTTTGTGGATAGGTATATGAGCGCATTAAAGCCCCTCTTTTAACTCTTGTGAGTTCAGGAAGTCCAGAACAATCTTATGCGGTTTTAAGCCACCTGCATCTCTTGGTGATGCGTGCACCTTATATATTTTCTGGGGACTACAAACACTTCTACTGTCAGTATAATGAGCCATCTTATGTCAAAAAATTGAAGCTTGAAATGTTGACTGCAGTTGCAAATGAAAGCAACACCTACGAGATAGGTGAGGAACTCCTCCCTGTACCTTTCAACTGAGAACTGGCCTAAAGAAAGGAATGGAAAACCCAAATCAGTTTATAAATTTTTTGCTTAATATTCTGATCGATGGTCTGAATTCCTTTGCTCTTGTTTTTCTAAATTGAATTTTGTTTTTAGCACGACTAATGCATGACCTTCCTGGGTCGATTTCAGTGACGGAACTGTGTGAATATGCTGCAAATGTTGACATTCCCATTGCTAGGGAGTCGATTCGAGCTGTTGGGAAGATAGCATTGCAGCAGTATGATGTCAATGCTATTGTTGATCGGCTTCTACAGTTTCTTGAAATGGAAAAGGACTATGTTACTGCCGAAGCTCTGGTAAACAACAGTCTGTCAAATAGACTATGGAAATTGTGCCTAACTGTATTGCAGTGATTTCTCTACTTGCAACAAACATATATATGAAAAGAATGCCATTTTAGTTTGACTATACCGTGGAGGATTGATGAATACTATCTGGAGTTGTTCTGCACAGGTGCTTGTGAAGGATCTGCTGAGAAAGTATCCACAATGGAGTCAGGATTGTATTGCTGTTGTTGGCAATATCAGTAGCAAAAATGTCCAAGAACCCAAGGCCAAAGCAGCTCTTATATGGATGTTAGGGGAATATTCTGAGAACATGCAGGATGCTCCCTATGCCTTGGAGAGTTTAGTTGAAAATTGGGACGAGGAGCATTCCCCTGAGGTAGTACACCTGCATTTTGAGGTTTTGTAGTTGCGTGATTGTAGCATGGGAGATTTATAGTTTCCTTTTGGATGTCATGTGAAACAAAGTTGGGCATTTCATCCTTGCTTCTTGTTTTAACAGTATTTTGGGATAGAAACAGAAACATGTGACAAATCAGGCATTAATCCCACTCTCTTTCATTGTCCACCTCCCTTACAAGTTGAAGTGGTGGATGATCAAAGGAAGTTGGATATAGATTGTGTAATGCTAAGATTAACCTCCTAACATATCAAGCTTTTCCATGAGTCTCTAATGCTTCCTGGTTCTCATCCCACAGTTTTTTCTTTTGGTGTGTGCTTGTAAAATTCCCACTGGCTGCAGTGAATGTAACTCTGAATCTTAACAAATCTTGTGTGGAAATTTGTGAGATTTATTATATTTACCAATGTTCTGTGGCAAATTTTCTACCTAGTTCAACTTTCTGTATCTGGCCGAATTTGTGACATGGCATAATCAAAGCCATAGTTTCTTCAACTGACACTTGAGAACTATTGTAGGGAAAGGGTTTAAATGGGATTCTAATGTGGGTTTGTTATCATCAATGAATCATTCAGATCATCCATAAAAGATCATCATATTCCGTATGTTTTAATCACCAAAACATTGTTGGTTCCTAAAAAATAAAAATAAAAAGGGAAAGAGAAAAGAAAGAATATAAACTAACTTCTGAGTGATTTATTGGTCTTTCTTCTCATCTATACACTAGTTCAGTTCTTGTCTTTATGTTTGCTAATCTCTCTATTGAACAATTGGCTCATTGTGCAGGTTCGCTTGCATCTTCTTACTGCAGTGATGAAGTGTTTCTTTAAGAGACCACCAGAGACCCAGAAAGCATTGGGAGCTGCATTGGCTGCTGGTCTCGCTGATTTTCACCAAGTGTGAATAGTTGCTACTATGAATTTTCTCAACAAAAAATTTTATATTTTTGCTTGTTCCCATTATGTTAAATGAACTAGAAGTATTGCTGATTGCAGGATGTTCATGATAGAGCCCTATTTTATTATAGGCTTCTGCAATACAATGTATCAGTGGCAGAGCGAGTGGTTAACCCTCCAAAGCAAGCAGTTTCAGTCTTTGCTGACACTCACAGTAGTGAAGTTAAAGATCGCATATTTGATGAGTTCAATAGTCTGTCTGTTGTATACCAAAAGGTAGTTAGTTACCCTCTCCTAGCGGTTTTTAATTGACAAAAGTCAGGTCAAAATGTCTTGTTGATTGTACTTCAAAATCCTCTGAACTAACAATGTTAAATTCATGCAGCCTTCTTACATGTTTACTGATAAGGAACATAGAGGGCCATTTGAGTTTTCAGACGAGCTTGGAAATCTGTCTATCAGTGCAGAATCTGCAGATACTGTTGTTCCAGTCCAGAGTGTGGAGGCAAATGACAAGGATTTACTTCTGAGTACTGCAGAAAAAGAGGATGGTAGAGATCTTGGTAGCAATGGGTCTGCCTATAGTGCTCCTTCCTACAGTGGTTCATCTGGCCCTGCTGCAACTTCACAATCACATGGAGAGCTTGCATTTACCGATACCAGTTTATCGGGTCAGGCTTCAGCATCTAGCTTGGCAATTGATGATCTGCTTGGTTTAAATTTTCCAGTCGGTGGAACAGCTGCCACGCCTCCACCTCCTCCTCTGAGGCTCAACCCAAAAGCTGTATTGGATCCCGGCTCATTTCAGCAGAAATGGCGCCAACTGCCTATATCTTTATGTCAGGTTTTTATGGAAATCATTATCTCAGTTTCATTAATTTTATGTTAGCATTGACGTAGCCCTCACACCTTTTATTGGGCCCTTTTCTTTTCGAATACACCACTTCCATTTTTACTTTTTCCTTGCTTCATTACCTCTGCCTTTTCCTTTCAATGTGATGCAGGAATATTCAATGAGTCCTCAAGGAGTTGCCTTGTTGACAACTTCTAATGCACTACTCAAGCACATGAAAGATAATTCGATACACTGCATTGCATCAGGTGGTCAGTCCCCTAACTTCAAGTACTTCTTCTTTGCTCAAAAGGCAGAAGAAACCTCAACATTTCTTGTAGAGTGTATAATCAACACATCTTCAGCCAAGTCGCAAATTAAAATTAAAGCTGATGATCAGAGTTCATCCGAGGCTTTCTCAACATTGTTCCAATCAGCTCTGAGCAAATTTGGTTTGCCTTGATCATTATGGGCGACGGATTTCCATTGCCTTGAGATTTTGTAGTTCCCTTACACCATCCGTTAGCAAATGTTCTCCTTTACAAGAAAGCCTAGAAGAGTGGTGTCAAGTCCGGAGAGGTTTGCTCTTGGTCATCTCACGTTGATGCAGGCTTTCCTTGTACGCCATGAGCTGTCAATTTTATTCGGCCTTGTATTCAAATGTGAAATTGTAGTCTGGTACAATGAAATCCTTCTGTTTATAGCAAAATTCTGAGTGCTACTCTTCTTATGGTGTTTTTGCAACTAATAAGAACCAATGAAAAAAAAACCGGACCGGACCGGCCGGTTCAACCGGAAAACCGGTGAACCGGCTTCCAGTCCGGTCTGGTTTGAAGAAGGAACCGGATTCAAATCGAACCGGAACGGACCGGAAAAAACCGGTGAAAACCGGAAAAACCGTTGTGTCGGTGGGTCGCCGGTTTTCTTTTTTTCCCCTTCCCTTACCAGATCCCTTAACAGAAAAACTCCATCGCCGTCCTCTTTCTGGAAAGTCGTCACTCTAACTCCTCTTCTCTTCTTGCCTGCGTCGCTATTGCTCTCAGCTTCAGCCACTTCTCATTTCATTACTGTTGCTCTTTTCTGGTAAGGCCATGCTCGAGTTGTTGCTCCCTAAGCTCCATTATTTTCTTTCCTTGTCTAGACAAGTGAAAAATGGAGAAGGACGAAGAGAGTAAAGAAGAGAAGTAAAAGAGCGGTTGAAGGAAGAAACTGGAAAGTGATTGAGATGATAGAACAATACCATACCGTCAGTCTGCTCACTGTTGCACATTGAGAAAAGAAAAAATAATGACATCAAAAAAATTGCTGGAACATGGGAAACCACAACGGTTAATTTAAAATCCAAGCCCATGCTTCCTATTTCCTGTGAATAATTTAAATGCGTAGCAGGCTAGTAGCTGTAGCCTGTAAGTGACTATGACATAGCGCTGTTCCATTTAAACTTTTTTAAAAGTGTTAGAATGATATGATTGATTGCTTGATTTCCGACGTGTGTGATCTCCCAGTGCTTGGCTTAGATGATTTGAATTTTGGTGTCCTAACACTCGTGCTTTCTTATATTTTTTGGATGATTATTATTTATAAATTTTGTTTTATTTTAATAGAGTTAAATTGTATTATTTTAATATGAACGGTTTGACCACGGTCCGACCACGGTCCGACCAATAACCCTTGACCCAATGTCTCGACCGGTTTAATCTCCGGTCCGGTTTTTTGTTCCTTGATAAGAACCTCAACAATTACTGTTCCCTGCTATTTTCTTGTCGTGCTAATGATATATGATAGTGCTATGGAGTCTTCGGACTTTGTTAAAGGTAAGCTTTTTATTTGAAAGAAGTTCCAATGGAAACACATGTTCATCTGATTTACTCTGTAATTTTTGTCTTTTTAATTCGTATCTAGTCAGTGATAAATAAGTTATGCTAATTATGAATAAATAAATTTAAAAGGCTTTATAAAAAAAATGCCATGCAGTGGACGAAATTGCTGTTGAGATATCTCCGCAAAATTTAAGGGGTATTTAAGTAGAAGTCAAATTATACTTTTAAAAATGCTTTTACAGGAGGACTCTGTCTCATTTTAGGAAAAATATTTTTAAAAAGCATTTTTTTACTCTGCAAACACTCCCTTAGTTCCTCTGCGAAACTGAAAGGGCATTGATGGCCAGCGGTATTTGACGACTATTTGGTAACCCATAATTTCGTGGAGTTGGTGACAAAATTGTGAATCTGCGGAAGGGAATCAAATCAAAAGTTCATTTTAATCGATAAAATTTCCACTGAATGGGACAACTTTCAAACCAGGCCCCGATAGTTCGTCGTTGCAGAGAGAACAGAGAAGGTCACTTTTTTAGGGAACCGAAATGAAAACATGGCGTCAGCATGTAGGGTTTTATTATCAGTGAGGAAGAGGTGCGCTCGAAGGTTTAACTTTCTAGCACTTCTTCCTTCAAGCTCTCACCAATTGAATTTCCACAATGAATCAAGTTCAAATCCCTCGCTTATCAAATTGCTTCGGGTATCCGATTCGCGCCTTAAACCTACGCTGGATCAGGAATTTCGTTCCCTTAAAAGCTCCGAAATTTCTTGGGAATCTCTGGCTACCTGTCTAAGGCCTTCTTCTCCTGAGAAAGTTCAGCTGGTAATGTTTTCGGCTGTTGATAATTCTGTCAGTTTTCGCTTTTCTGTGCTCACCTTCGATGATAAAATAGGTATACGCAATCTACCGAATCGAAACGAAGAATCAGTAGTGGCAAATATTTATTATGCAAATTTTGCTCCAATTGGATATACTGAAATGAAATCGGAGTCTAATCTATGTTAACTGTTTAATTCAGACATCCTGTGATTTCTCCCCCTGGTTTGCTGCTTTAATTCTGAGAATGCTGTAAGAAAAAGAACTTGTGAAATCAAACAAGCGGGGTTCTCTTTTGCCTCCCAGTTTTGGAGTTTTTGCTGCTACCATTCCTGTTCTTCGCTCACTGGATTTTTGTTCTTGCGGAAAATATGGTTTTAATATCTGAGATCAATCTTTATACGGAATAAGGTTTCATTTTCTTAAATATCCCGCCAATTTTGGTTCCTGAATTTCATATCAATATTCTCATATACACGTATTGAATGGTCAGGTATTGGAATGGGTTTTGGAGAAATTGCTGAATGAAAATGAGAGAAATCACAATGTCTTCTCCGAATACATATTTCTTTGCGGCAAGCTTCAGAATGTGCCACTTGCAATGCAAGCGTTTGCTTCTATGGAGGCTAATGGAGTTAAACCCACCTCCCTGGTTTTTAATTCTCTTATAAATGCTTGCTTGTGTTCCAATGACATTACCACAGCATTTAGCTTATTTGAGATCATGGAAAGTTCAGAGAGCTATAAACCTGATTTTCATACTTATAATGTGTTTATTACAGCATTTTCAATGTCAGGGAACGTTGATGCCATGTTAGCTTGGTACTCAGCTAAAAAAGCTGCTGGAATCGGTCCTGATCTTCAAACATTTGAATCCCTTATATCAGGTTGTATCAAATCAAGAAATTTTGAACTTGCTGATAGAATTTACGAAGAAATGATGTCATCAGGAATTATACCTAGTATATCCATTCTGGAAAATATGCTTGAAGGGCTTTGCAAACAAAAGAGTTTGAGTCGAGCCGAGGAGTTCTTGAAGTTTGTGGCAAGTGTGAGATGGGAGATCAATGAAAACATGACTGATAAATTAATAGCACTGTATCAAGAAATTGGGCAAGTGGAAAAGATGGAGGAGCTGCTTGAAACTATGATGAAGTCCCATCCTATTACTGATGGAGTACTCTCCCGAATTCATTGTGGGATTATACGGATGTATGCCAAACTGGATAGATTGGACGATGTAGAGTTTGCCGTGGGAAGAATGTTGAAACAAGGGCTCTCATTCACAAGAACAGATGATGTTGAAAAGGTTATCTGCTCATACTTTAGAAGAGAAGCTTATGATAGGCTAGACATATTCTTGGAATGTATAGAGACTAGTTATCCGCTCAGCAGATCCACTTGCGATTTGTTGATATCTGGCTACAGAAGAGCTGGATTACGCGAAAAAGTAGATTCAATGATGGAAGCCATGAAATCTGCTGGGGTTATGTAGCACCTGTTGTGGGTGTCCAAACAAAAATGCTTCATTCTGGATTTGTAAGCAGACAATTGGTATACCGTCAGTTGACTAAAAGGTGTCTGGATATCAAGAGAAGTGTTTTTTAAAAGTATTTTTTCATAAATCGAGATAAACTCCTCTATGTATTTATTTTGTATATTGTAAAATCACTTATAAAACCATTATTTGGTTTCCATCCAACCACTTTAATACATAGTAGAAGTTATTTTCATCTTTAGTACACTTACAATGTGTTTTGGAATAAAATGATTCTAACGGAATTATGATTCGTGCATAGTTGATATGATTTAGATAATTTGTTTTACTCTTCTCAAGTTTCAACTTGATAGACATCAACTCCGTTACCAGGTTTTTGGGATCAACTCAAAGACAGGTTACAAGACACAGTAGCAATAACGATTCTGTCAAAGTTTATACAAGTCAATATCATGTATTTCCATGTCAAGTGCACCCCTACTTAACCCAAATTTTGGATGTGTTGTGAACGTTTTGATTTTAATCCTATCATATGAAATTTTTGAGCTTTTGAGAAAGCATTTCCTATGCATCAGATATGATTCAACAAAAACTTTTATCGTCAAAAGATGGAATTTTGTAGTACTCTCAGATGCGCGGCCCCTAGATGCGCCCAAAAACAAAGACGGCTAAACCAATTGGAATACGGTTCTTTTTCTTTCTCTCTCTTTTGTTTTAAATGATCTTATTATGTTTCATGATATTTGAACTGTTGTTTTTTTTGGAATAAAACGTGGATGGAAGGACTATTAATTGAACTGCTCTGCTCCAAAGCCAACCGTGAGATCAGGATATTAAGAAAGGGCTACTAGCCTGGTCAACTCAACGGCCGAAACCATCTTTCACTTCTACGCAACGAAAAAATATTTCTACAATCGTATTCAGCGCGAAAATCGCATCATGAGAAAGCGGTTTCATCACTTAATTCTAACTGGGGGAACTCAGAATTTGACCATATTGACATTTACCCAGCCCAAAACCCCAATTCAACCAATAACATCAGCGAAACACCAACACATATGTACATGCACTTGCAATGAATGGAGAAGTGGGAAAAATAATTATGGGAGATCAGAAAGTCACTTATTCGCTTTGGTGCTTCTGTTCCGTCAGAGGCAGAAAAGATTTCATCCACTGTTTCCAAGGAGCATCCTGTTGTTGCTCAATCCAAGACAAGAAACTACTATCCAATGTGTTGAACAAGTTAGCATAGAGAAGCTGATACTTCACAGGTACAAAACGAAAATTTGCAACTTGAAAAAAGGGCCATACGCCTCCCTCTAAAATCAAGGCCGGAAGAAAGTCTCTCTTCACATCTTCTTTGACTTGAGGAACACTTTTCCCTGTGGAAAAACCCACATAAGTGAAAAATACAAGTAAATCCAACGGTCCGTAGAGAAATGCATCAACAGCAACTTTAGAGGCAATAAAGTGAAAGGAATTTGGTTTGAGCATCAGTCTCAATCTTATGTATCGGTCCAAGCCTTCATACCTACAAAAATCAGCATCAAGTGAAGATTACAATATGCATGATGCACTCATGTAGCCATATACTACATATACATAAAAACATCTGGGTATGGAAACAATGACAGGAGCGCACATGCATGTATAGACTTCATGTGTTTGAGTGCAAAGATTCTTCGCTAGCACGGGCACATGCATTTTTTAAGCTTTTTTGTCTAAACTTGAGTAGAATATTAAAGATGCTGCTTTAAAGTACAAGAAGCATATTTTGAAAATGAAGATTATCTGGCATAAATTTCTTGTAGCATTTATTATCAAATTATATATTTTAATATATTATTTTAAGTATAGGTTATCCATCCATATGCATGGTAAATAGACGGATGGATAACCGACATAAAACAGCAAATTAGTGAATTTGAATAAACTAAGAAGCCATTTCCTGTATTAAACTTGGCCAATATGTCAATTTTGACCCGTCCATTACAATCTAATCCAAAACAGAAACCATAAAAAGTAATGCTTATTACCAGTAGTGGCCAACAGGACCAACAAATCCAAACCCATAGAAGGTGATCGCAGTCACCCGTTTCCAGTTGACCTTAAATTCTTTATCGTCCTCCTGGAGTATATAAGACAGTTTGCCATTAACGAAGAGAAATAAGTTGATTGATCATGTAGTGTGATTACAAACAATAAGTTTTCAACTTCAGCTCCCATCTCACAATTCACACCATAAATCACAAAAACCATGGAATGGAAAAGATTCAGAGTTCTTGTGCCCTTATCATGTTACCAATGTCAAAAAATTGAAACAACCAACCAGTCGAAAAAATGGAGAATTTTTACGAAAGAATAATCAGAATTATCTCTTGTAGCATATGACAACATCAATTCTGACAAACACTGAAACACAGTCCGGGCTCCAACTTACGAAATGGAGACTACCATCTGCTTGTACGGGGAAGAACGCCGCTAAATCTGTATTTGGAGCGAATGAAAAAGGAACAATACCTTGTTTGGTTTATGGTTCTTGACTGCGGAGTGGGTGATAGCCTGAGCAGCTATATCGCCAAACCCCCATATAAAACCAGAGCTCATCATCTGTGTCTTAACTGGGTGAACAGCTAAGCAATGCTGGTACCATTTCCACAATTTCAACATATCCCGATTCAAACAGAGTCAAAGAAAGAAAAGAGAATTTCAAGGAACGGTGTTATCGGTAATCGATATTCATGTCATTTGAGGATTAGCCAAGTGGGCATTTGTAGATGACTGGAAGATTAATCATCAACAGAATCCATAATCAGAGTGTTTTTCCGAGGGCAATGAAAGATTAGTGGCCTTCCGTCTTGGATAAGCTTTTTCCCGACGTCATTTTACGGGGATTGAAATTCCGCAAGAGATTCATCCCCTGGAACGCGGATAGAGGAAAGAGAAGGGCAAAAGAGAAAAAATTAACGTTCCTCAGAAAACACAAAATAGATGAGAAGTTGCAAGCGGTGAACGTCCACTCGTTGACATTAGGGGGGCAGAAAAACGCAGCGAAAAGAGGAAAAAGCAAATTCGTACTTCGATTATCAGACAGTCAGGGCCAGGCTTGGATCACAGATGGGCTTGTCGTCATTCAGAGAGAGATAGAGGTAAAAATCAAGACCGGATCGGTCCTGGAATTAGCAGATTTAAAAAGGACTGAAATTTAAAAAATACAAAAAAATATTATTTTTTATATTTCTCATTTTTTATTAATAAAATGAAAATAAACCAATAATATTGTTAATAAAAGACATAAATATGAATAAAATTATATCACAAATACAAAATATCATCATATATAAATATTCATTAACATCCAAAAACATCTAAAACATTCATTAACAAGATAATAACATCCAAAAGTTTTATATATAGTGCAATTATGTAATAAATAAACACTATCATTAATCTTTTGAAAGTTCATCATCACCATAATCAGTTACTCTTCTTCATAAGTATGCTTTTCTTTCTTAACAAAAATATTACGTTTTTCCTCTTTATAAGAATTGTACTTTTAAATTTTATAATCTAGCTATTATTTTACTTTAATATGAGAAACATTATTGTTGAAACTCATGAATTTCTAATTCAAATTATAAAATCACAAGTTATATAAGTATAAAAATACTCTATTATCAAATATATATAGTTTAAAAATATTAACGTATATAATATAAATCAAATCATTATTAAAGTCTAAATTAACCCATTTTTTAAAAATTTAGTTGGATAAATTATTGTGTAAAACTAAATAAATCAAATCATTCTGTAAAATTTAATTTAAAATGATAATAATAACTAAATATTTAAAATATTATTAACAATATAAAAAGATTAATAATATTAGAATCACATAAGAAAATTTAAAAAACAAAAAAAATTATAAAAGGGCCTAAACGGGTCGGCCCTACGCCCTTAAAGGCCGGCCCTTTTAAACCCTTAGCCCTTCAGGGCCAACCCTCCAGAACTTATATCTCATTTGAAGAAAAAAATTTCAAACCCAGCTTTTATAAATTCAGGGCCTAAACGGGCCGACTCAACGGGCTCAATCCGTTTTTCCGGCTCAGAAATCATTGAAGCTCATATAGGTCAGTAATTAACGGCCGAACACAAAAGGCCTTGTTTGTGTCTCTCTCTTTTAGAGTTTGTTACCCTTGATTTTTTTTTGAAAATAAATGATAAAACATAATAAAAGAGATTAAAAAATAAATCCAATAAATAGCTCTGCTTTTCACACAAGTCAAACATTTTATTTATAATATTAATTTTTTATTTAGTATCCTTAAGCAGCTATAAAAAATTTTAACTAATCAATCTAATTTCTCCAACAAGATTTTTTTTTTTTTGCCAACTCGAGCACAGGAATTTAAAACATACCTGTCTGTGACACTCAAGTTCAAGACTCAACTAATTAATCCATTAAAAAAGGGGAAAATGGTAATACTGAACCAATTAGAAATAGGAATAAGGAGAAGCCAAGGGCAAGGAACAAACAAAAAAGGGAAGGGGCATCCTATGAGAAAGTTCTACCTCACTTTCTGCTTCCTTATCCCTTTGTCTCTTCCTTGCCTTCGTTTTGTTATGGTCACGCACTCACACGTCTTCTTTTGTGGATAATATATTTCCCAGCCTTTTTTTAAAAAAAAAAAAATTTATTCGGACATCTTTCTCAAAACTATTTCAACCAATGGTCTGCTCAATCCAAAATCCGACCCGTCTCATTGCCGTCCGTCCTCCTTTTCTAGCCCTTCATTTCCTGTTACTACCTGCGCATTCAGCCTTAGCAGGTAAAAAAAAAAACACCCAAGGTTTCTGGGCTCTCTCAACTATGCATTTTTCTCAACTGTTTTGTTGGGTCATTTTCTTGATCGCGGTTTTTATCCTGAGATTGTATTTCTTTTTCACAGAATCCACCTTACTCTACATTTACTCTCCATTATATTGTCTCTTTTATATCAAGACGCTGGTAGTGTATTCAAGAAAAAGTCGTTATTCTTCGTCTTCCATAGAATCCACTTTGATCCCGTCAGCACTCAGCAGTGCATACTAATTTTCTTGTTGGTTATGGATAGTTCCTTAACTTATGGAAACTTATTTGGATTTATTTTTAATTGAACTTTCAGTCTACAGATTTTAAATGACACCTTCATAGTGGCACTGCTATGCTACCTATCATTCTTCGTCAGATTTTAAATTTTAGTGTTTTGTGCTTCCAAGGGAGGTGAAGGTTATTTAGATTCTATGCAGATTAGGAGTAATGTAATCAAAGAAGTCAAAGACCAAACGCCCTTTTAAGCTGCATCATTGAGTTGATCAGGGAAGACTGTGTGTGTGTGTTCCCTATTCTTCAGTCAGCTTCAGTATACTCCATGTTCCACAGTTTTATCCCAAACTTGATGGTATAAAAGCATTTTACGTCTGTAAAATCCTGTAGGAGTATGAAGACGAACAGAAAGTAAGTTGCGACCTTCTTGATTGTCAAAGCAATTGATGTGGACTTGCACAGACTGAAGGAAAGATATTATACAACCTGGAAATAATAGCTCTTCTTACGGAACTTGTTACAGAAAAGAAGCAACAATCGCCACCATGAAGAAAGGATGGGTCCAACCAGTGTCAATCAAGGTATAAATATAACAGCTAATATTGCTATTGCCATTCTGCTGCCTCAAACTTCTTGGTTTTATGCTGTATCGCCATCATGAAGAAAATAAGTCTCCTTTTTGTTGCTACTACTGCTGTATGGCTCAATTGGATCTAAATCTGAGGGCCTCTAATGCTAACTTACAGAGTAATATGAAGTATTCACATATCATGATTACTTAAATACGATGTGAATTGCAATAGAAGGCACCATTCTTACCGCAACATGTTCCTCAAGGACACAACTATTGTCAACCTTTAAACAAGTTTTGGAAAGGCAAATTTTTATAGGAAAATTTTCCACCCTATGTTAATATAGCCCTTCAGCTTCTTGTTAAGTTGCTGGGGAGCTGCAGATATATTTCCTTTTTCTTCACTATAGGAACTTTCATATTGTTTAAATTATCTTTCCTAATATCCACAGACTAATTAGATTGATATCCATAGAATATTTCTGGTTTTACTGGTGTGGGGCAAATTTTAGCTGTGTTAAAAATGTAAATCGTGAGTAGAAGCTATAATTGCGTTAGCTGTCCCTAATTACACCAATGGTTCAATTATTTGACAAAATGTGAGCTAACTGTAGTCACATGAATGATTAATAACATGCCAAATTGTTTGCCACATCAAAAGATTTTCCCATGTCCTCCGGTTTTCAGCTGCCTTTGGACCTTATTAGTTGGTGGGGCCAAAAAAGTAAATCAATCACTCTTTCTGCATGTTAAACAACTGAAGTTAAACTAACTTGCAGGTCTTTATAATGTTATAAGATGTGTGAAAATACTATTTTACATGCAATTCAGATGAAGTCAATACTGTATTGATCATATAGTGCTATTTAATTTTAATAGGGAAATCATCCTGACGATCACAAGATTTCAGTGAACCATGTTACTAAGGCTGCAGATTCGGAGAGTCAACCCAGCTGCATTTTCTGCATGGGTAAAACTAGTTGCCGTATTGTACGCTCAAGAACAAAATTAATGAATATAATGATAGATAGAGGAAAACCTCGGGAAGCCAGTGCCATTTTTCAAAATCTGATTAAAGGAGGGCACCAACCATCTTTAGTAACATACACAACCCTGTTGAATGCCTTGACCATTCAAAAGAGCTTCGAATCCATACATTCCATTGTCTCACAGGTGGAAGAAAAAGGAATGAAGCCTGATTCGGTATTTTACAATGCTCTCATAAATGCGTTTGCAGAATCTGGGAACATGGAGGAAGCCATAGAAACATTTCAGAAGATGAAAGATAGTGGAATAATACCTACCATGAGTACTTATAACACATTGATCAAAGGGTATGGAATAGCTGGTAAGCCTGAAGAATCTATGAAGCTACTGGACATGATTGCAAGAGAGGGAAATGTGAAACCCAACCTCAAGACATATAATGTGCTCGTTAGAGCATGGTGTAAAAAGAACATGTCTGAGGCACGGAGTGTGGTGGATAAAATGGTGGCATCCGGAATGCAGCCAGATGCTGTTACTTTCAACACGATGGCAACAGCTTATGCTCAGAGTGGAGAGACGGCTAAGGCTGAAGCAATGATTTTAGAAATGCAGAACAATGGTGTGAGGCCTAATGAGAGAACTTACAGCATCATTATCAGTGGATACTGCAGGGAAGGTAAAATAAAGGAAGCTCTGAGGTTCGTGTACAGGATGAAGGATCTGGGGCTGCAAGCTAACCTCGTTTTGTTCAATTCCCTAATAAATAGTTTTGTGGACATGATGGATAGAGATGGTGTTGATGAGGTAAGTTCGGGCCTAGGATTTTTTAACTTCATTTCAAAATGTCGTTTGCTTATAAATTTTAGAGGGCATAAAACATAGAATTATCAATGGACTCTTGAACTTCTAGTCTCTAGATATTCATTTTATAAATCATACAAGGTAAAGCATGAAGCAACGGGAAAAAAGATATAACAGTTAAGAACTGAGTAATTGAATATTGTAAAACTCGTCTCTCTGGGAAATACCCGTCTTTAATTCGCCACTGGCAAAAATCTTATTCGTTTTCCAAATGTTTTATTATGTCTCCATCTCCTTAGTTCTAGTCACGCTGATTCTTGCTGAGGAGTTTTGACATTTTATGTTGTTAGATCATTTAAATTTGTAAAGGACAATCGTTAGAACTTATTCCTTCATGCTGTGCAGCAATTGATTTATAAATCGAATTCTTATATGCAATACCTAATTCTTCTTTTGCCGCAATATATAGAAGGCCTTGTTTGTTAGGTTTAATATCCACAGTATGGTGGATCACGGTCTCAGCAGTTTGACTTACATGAGTCCATTTTGCCTTAATTGGTTTTTATTACTCCTAACATTGCATGATTCAATTTTTAACTCGTGGTTTTATCTATTCACAGGTTCTACAGTTGATGGAAGAATTTCAG